TGGCAGGAGGTTAGGAAGTGCAACTCAGTTTCCACCTCATTTTGTGGGCAGTGTGCACATAGCCTGTCTGCTCTTGTATTTTTCTAAAATCTCTGGCGGGGTCAAGCCACTGCTTCTCTGACAGCAATATTAGATAAGGATCAATAGAATAAAGCCAGAACAATATTTTACGTTATTTAAAATCAGGAACTATATAATTAGCACATGTATTGTGTTCTTACTAGTGATTCAAATAATTTGAACCGAATTTACACTAAGGCACATTTGTTACCATCTATTTCTTTGGGTCCTGTAATTGAAACGCTAAAGCCAGAGATAATGTATAATAACGAGATGGTCTTGTCTCCGTCCTAACAATGGGAGTCGTCTGCTAAAGTCATCGGCTGTATTCCCGCGTGGACAGATTTAGACGGGAGTGGCGCCTCTCACGCCGCCTCTTTCTCTCTGATATTGCTACGCAGTCGTCTAGGCAGCAGCAATGGAGTCGATCAAGAATGAACCTGGAAAATGGCAGGTCTGGTTTTATTCTATATATTATGTGTTATTCAAATACTTAGCTTCAAACAAGAAATCTTAGCTATGTATAATTCAATTGGACAATTGTTACAAACTACTATTTCAACAATTTTAGCTAGCTATACTAGCTAGTAGCTCGTTAGCCAGCCAGCTAAGGCTAATTATTAACATAACAAGCTAACGTTCGCTGGCTAGCTACTCGTTTTGGTGATTTCTGATATATCATTTTAAAAAATCAATCACAGCACGTTTTTGGATTTATTCAGCAGTTTTTACACGATTAATTACAATACCATTGGAAATTAATGTTACGTTCAATTGATACTCCTAAAACGTAAGTTTAACATTACAGTATAACATTACTGTCGCTGTTTCCTGTTGCCAAAACATTTTTTTTAAATAGTCCAACGTCAAAACAGTTTTAACGTGTCCAAATCAATAACCAATATGCAGAAACACTTCGTGATATGTTGGAAACCTAAAATGTACTATCTACACATGTGCAACAATAATCATATTACTTGTATTTTTTTAAACGAGCACGTTATAAACTGCACACGCACAAAAAAAAAACAGTTTTGACAAGTGGCAATAAATCACTTATTGATTAGGGGGAAAATCCGGTTGTTTGAGCTGTTGAAACTACCACAATTCAAAACCACATGTAGCCTAAACTGGATACATTTTTACATTACTGGTTATGCCAGGTGTACACTACACGAAATCCTAACATCGCTGACATTAACAACTGTGTTTTTTGTCTTGCCAACGCAGTGGTGCACACAATGATCTGACACAGACAGGGTGTCACACATTACAAGATGCTTCACTTCTTCTTCAATGAGGTTTAACAGCGGTTGGCGTTACCGCCACCTACAAGACTGGAGTATAACTTCCTTATACTTTGCTCGAAAATAAAATAAATCAACAAATACCCTACCATCGCTAACCCTACACTCACTAAAAACCCACCACACTACTCCACTATTTAAATCTGTATTTCCTCAGGCCAACAGCCTGAAAGGACGGGACACCACCACTCAACACACCCTGTAACTCTTTATTTATTTATTTATTTATTATTCTGTACCTCTCTGCAGCTGCCACTACAACCTACATTTTCTGCGACTTACAGTTGTTAACCATTGCTATAAACGCAAATCTTACTGAAAAATATCACTTGTTGGCCTATCCCTCTGTACTGGTACAGATCTATTACTCACACCACTCCTCTCAGGATCCTTCCCCCTTGACCCATCTTCCTCTACTTTCTTCACTGCCTCAGCATACGACTTCTGCACTACTCTAACCCTAGAAACCTCAACCTGCCCCTCTCGCACCGGCGGTTTCTGATCCCCAGTCCCATTGGCACCCTTACAATTAACGCATATCACTACTTTCCCCAATGCTACACATTGCTTTGTCTTATGTCCTTCTGCACACTTTTCACACCTAGGAACCTCCCTCCTATAGACTGCTGCCACATGCCCATAAGCTTGACACCTGTAACAACGTAATGTATTAGGCACAAAAGCTCATATGGGATAACTTGTATATCCTAACATCACTTTGTCGGGCAAAGACTCAACATCAAAACAACAGACAACGACTCTTTTGTTTCACCACTCACGCCACCCTGTCTGCGTCGCGCCAAACGATGAGCATCATAAACACCTGGAATCTTCCCCTTCCGTTGGTGAACTTTCACATTTTACCCCTACCCCAGTAATCACTCCTTTCAATGGCACCCTTTTCTTGAGAGCAAAACAATTCACATCTCTTGTCCCCATTCGTTTAACGCGGAGCACCTGCTCCCTCTGACCAGCAGAAACACAAACAATTATCACAAGACCACTTCTGGTTACCTTCACCGATTTCACAGCACCCAACTCTGTTTTCACCCACCCTGAAACCACAAATGGATCAGCCAAAAGGCAATGGTCCACTTTTTCCCAAAATGTCACTCCTACCGTCAGACTCATCTTTATCCTGACCCTCGGTGCAAGCCTCGGGCTCCGAGAACTTCACCACACCTACCCCCTCCTTCTGTCTTCGATCTGGCGTAAAGCTCACTCTGCTTACACTTTCTACCATTCTTCTTTAACAAACCCTCTCCCTTTCTCCCTTAGATAATGTAATTTCAGGCTCTCGAAGCAACTGCTATCTATCCCTGTCAATCGTGCGTTCTCTCCAAAGTTTAAGCGGGCGCGCAATGGATTATGGTCATTGTAGTTAATTACCACGTTTTATGTGCTAAACTGTGGAATATTAGCCTGTTGGAAACTACAACTACCTACTACATCGCACAGTTCAGGTTTGATCTGATTTATCTATACAGAAACAGCACTAATCACTGGTTAGAGGACAACTTGTAGAAGACACCTAGCTACATTCTTAAGTGTTGAATTTTTATTCAAGTGGGTCGCCAATGCGGTAAGTGTAATGCAACACTTTTTTTGCGTTCGATTGAAATCAATAGAACGCAGTAAACGTTTTTGGGTGTATGCACTCTTAAACTAAAACTATTCAAAGGCCACACATAAACTGAGAATAATTTTTACATCACTATTTAGAAGAGAATTTGTTGAAGACCGTCATCTAAATTCTAGAATGGCAATGGAGATTTTGGGAGGCTGCCGAAACAGGGAAGGAAACAAATCAGTTGCTTTATTTAACTTCAACGAATCACGACCTGCCATATGATATCAACTAGGGCTGTGACGATGCCAGTATCGCAATATTTTTTTCCCATGCCAAAAATGAAAACATGAGGCAGATTCTTTAAAACCCACTGTATGTCAAATATTGTGTGCTATAGCTTGGGAAATAAATAAAGGTGACTCTGGATGACAACATGTTTCCAGCATTAGGGCTGTTTTCCTAAAGATGTTAATACCGCTTCGTGTTTTGTTTCCTTGCCATGATACTGAGCATCGACATACTGGTATCGTCCCGGCCCTAATATCAACACTGACACGGGTTGTCTGTAATTTAAGTGATAGTTTGACTCTCAAATCGATGTATTGGTGTGTGTGGCCAGCGATTTTTGTACAGAGAGCCCCCCGAATTGTTCATTCCATTTGAATTCGAAAATGACAACAGTCCTGCGAACACCAGTGTATATGACAAAATCAATGGTACAAAACCAAAGATATTGATCTGTTTTAAGCCATAGATTTTGTGTAATTGAGATGACTATAATCTTTCATAGTATCATCACCAATCTGAGGGAACAAGTATGTGTATTTCCTGTAATTGGTGTGTAGTGAAAACGTTAATCTGTACAACGTAGTAACACGTTCTGTCCACCATAGGGACATTTGCGTAATATGAGAATTCAATATGTCAAAAGAATTTCAAATTAGGATGATGGTAAATTAAGCACCCTCACATATTTTTACAAAAATGACATGACTTTCTTACTACTTTAACCATGGAGAGAGTTAGAAAATGCTCCTAAACACAATTTAACCAGGTGCTCTAGACTAGAGCATCCATAGGGTCTGTGCAGCAGGCTGAATGTTTGACGTCGCTAACATTATCACGATCGGAGAGGTTGAGAGTAGAAGTAGTTCAGGAGCAAAAACAAATAAAATATAATTATTGTAAAATTGACTGTGTCCATAAAATGTAGATAGTAAGTATAAGCTGGAAGTAGAGGCCTAAGCATTGTTGTTCACTAATTTACCCCAAGTAGGGAAAGGATGGCGAGGTTGAAAAGTAATAAAGGGGAGTATATATATATAAAAAACATGGGGGATTGGAAGTGATGCAGACAATTACATTGATGGAAGTTACAATCTATCTGCAATATTAAGCTGATCTACCCCCCCAAAAAATAAATAATACATTATCATGATACTGACTAGCTAGTCAACCAAATCAACCCCACCATAGTTAACATGCCTTTACATTTTAGTCATTTAGCAGACGCTCTTATCCAGAGCGACTTACATTAGCAATCAGGGTTAAGTGCCTTGCTCAAAGGCACATCGACAGATTTTTCACCTAGTCGGCTCGGGGATTAGAACCAGCGACCTTTCGGTTACTGGCACAACGCTCTTAACCACTAAGCTACCTGCCGCCCTTTAGTACAATGAAAGCTATTTGTTGTCCTGGATCTTACCCAACATATCCGTAACGTTAGCCACTTGGGCCCTTCAGGTTAGCAGACTAGCGTAGCTAGCTGCCTGTAGCTAGGTGACGAGAGCGTGACCAAGTTGAGCTATTTTGCATTTGCAGGGAAATAGTGCTAACTATGTCATGTCAAAGAGAAACGTATAGCTGATATGTTACGCTGCGTGTCTGCACCTTTTTATTTATTGTATCCTCTCCTTTTTTTAGGCCTGACCTGAAGGTAAACAGTTACAACCTGCTCCCACGTCACATCTGCGGTGGTTAGGAAACCCCACTGTGTGTCATTCCACCCAGCCCTGTGGCCACCTGATTGAGCTTGGTGTGATTTCGCTTCCCCCTCGGAGACAATGTACTGCCTTCAGTGGTTGCTCCCAGTCCTCCTCATCCCGAAACCCCTGAATCCGGCCTTATGGTTCAATCACTCAATGTTCATGGGCTTCTACCTGCTCAGCTTCCTTCTGGAGAGGAAGCCGTGTACCATTTGTGCCTTAGTGTTCCTGGCAGCACTGTTTCTCATCTGCTACAGCTGCTGGGGGAACTGTTTTCTGTACCACTGCCATGACTCCACACTGCCAGACTCTGCACACGACCCCAGCATCGTGGGCACCTAAGAGGATCCCACTGACACTAGGAGCACATTGACCCTGGACAATCTGTATCTAGGCTGTGAATAAAATCCCCCACCTGAGACTGTCGAGATGCTGAGAAACCTAGACAGTGTCCCGATTCTCATCCCCTCTGCCCTAAGTGTGCACTTGTTCACTTCCCTTCATGGATTTCAAAGGAATTGACTGTTGCAAGAAAGGGTGGTAATGCCCTCTCAATGATTACACCAATCCAGTGCTTTTAAATGCATGGGGAGGAGTGCATGTGTGCACTTTTCAGAAAATGGCCTATCCTACACATCTCCCCCCTCACAACTGCCCTCCACCCCTGCCTTTATCCCCTGGTTTTGAGTGAACATCCACTACCCTGGACTCATTGGATCTAAACATTTGCATGGGTTGCCTTTAGAGTTTTCATATGTCGTGTTAATACATATATTTTAATTACAGAATGCTGAAAGTTTCCAAAGGGTAGAAATTGAATGTGTGTGTGTGTGTGTTAGTCAGCATTTTCACAAGTCATACTATCAGTATGTTACGGTAGCAGGAAGGTGAATATGAATATCCTGCATCCCTGTTGAGCTTTATTGATGTCGAGAGCAGAAGAGTGATGTGAACATGTTGTGTGTCACTTCCCCTGCAGAGCTCAAATGTTACCACTGCTTTTAATTTAATAAAGTTCAATGTCTGAAGGTGTTATCACTGAGCATGATGCGGTGGCCTCGTGTGTTTTCTCGGTTCTTCTAGGCTTCATGTCAACTGCAAGTTTTATCAATTGCCCACTATCTGCATTTGAGAGAGTGAGAATTCCCCATGACCAAGAAGGAAAAGCTCATTATTGTTGGTGAAAGAAAACCAATTATTTTTTTAGGGTTCACAGAATCTCAATATTTGAAAAGACAAGTCCGTTTTTATAAGGTTTATTATGAAAGTAATTGAAATGTGAAGGTTAATTACTGCATGTTGTCTGGTGCTGGAGGGAAAACATTGCATTTTATTTTTAGTTGGGCCATAAATAAACTGCTTGACAAGCTAATGAGCTCTTGATCAAAAGGTTTTATATTATTTTTAACTCCAGCCCAGTGTGAGACCCATCAGGGAAAGGTCACCAGTTTGCAGCTGGCTATCCAGTGAACCACAGGCCCCACAAAATGTTCACGTAATTTAGCCTGGTCTGGTTTTGAGAAATTTTGACAATGAAAACTCAAATTAATTGTATTATGTTCTGTTAGGTTGCTGTAGCTAATTACATTAATCTAACTTTTTTTAATGACAAACAGTCTCGATTTGCTCTTTTGTGAAGATTGTGGTACCAATGTTATTTGTAGGCTACATTCAATATGTGGGAGGTTTGTATTGCAAATATTTGCTTTAGGTCTGTCCCTGACAAAAAAAGCTCTTGGTCGACCGAAAGTCGTCTGTTTTTCGACCAATCGATTGGTCAAACATTTTGTAAGTGTATTTCTCCATATATAGACACCCTATGTGTTTTAATAAAATCAACTATAAGCATTGAGCTTGTCTGATGCGTTACGCTTACGGTTTGATTAAATATGACAAATGCCTCGAGGGTGCCAGAGATCTAGATGACCAGAAGAAAAAATACTTAAACTGACACAACTATTCTCCTCCCGCTCCTGCAGGCTTTCACAGATTCTGCCATTACTCTCCTGAAGTTTCCGGTAATAGGCTACACGAGGAGTCGGCAACCTTTCTCATGTTGAATGCCAATTTATCTTACCATTTCTACCGATCTGCATGCCAGTTATGGTTCTCACATTATCGTGTTAATTTATAATAACGTCTTCATATCTCAATCAGTGTCATGTAGGTAATCAAAATTCAATCCAAATCTAAATGAAATTGATACAAACCTAAAAAGTAACTTCTATCGCCATTGCCAACTATGTAAAAATAGCCTACATAAAGCAAAAAAATTTAAACATTGCAGTCTGCAGGTAGAAAATATCCTGATTAAAAATAAATATCTTATAAATCACATTGGCTACACATGGCCTGTCTGCAACAAACCTGAAACATTGTATCAACTATTAAGTTGGTTCCAGCCTGAAGCTTGCAACATTGTATAAAATATTCTGGGCCCTAATTTTCCCCGCCAGTGAGCTTGGGACAGACACAGCTGTAGGCTATTTGCGCAAGGGATAAGAAGCAGTGCTTGACTTGGGCAGGAGCTCACCGGAGCTGAGTACCCGCACCTCAAATGTTCTACTGCTTGAGCTCCAGTTCCTCTTATAGAATATTAGATAAAAAGTATTGAGGAGCTCCTGCACCTAAATATAAACAGTACCAGCACCCAAAATGAGTACCAGAACTTATTTCACTCCAAGTCAAGCACTGATAAGAAGTAATCAGGTAGGCCTATTTTATGACGTTTCCACTGGATCAGAGCATGAAATATTTCGCGCTGAGTGGTTATCGAAGGGGAGAGAGCTGGAAAGATTTTTCAAATACATTGAGGAATTATTGTAATTCTCAATGGATGTAAAAACAGACTTCATTTGCTTGCCGTTTGAGGTGAAGAAAACATTACTTTGAGAAGCTCCACAGATCATTAGTGGTGGTGCGTTAAGCCAATCAGAAATACTATCAGATCCCCAAATGGGCACATTTATATACCTACATTTGCGCGCAGGCCATGTAGCCTATAGGCTACACTTCTATGCGTGCGTGTCCTTACTCAACATTGACAGGAGCGCTCCAAACAAAAGACAATTACTAAATTGACAAAACTCATAAATGGAATGAAATAAACCAAAACTTGTTTCTCACAAGTGTAGCCTAGGTTGTTCACTCTGCAAACAATGTCTCCACTCAGACAAGGAGAACGGGAAGACTGGAATAATAATATTGAATGCATTAAAATATTACCGTAACCAAAGTAACAAACATTGTAGATTAGAAATGATAGGAATTAACGGTAAATGTACTACTGGTGATATATGTAATGGGGACTTGATATACACTAACAATCAAATGCAAACAATTTACACAATGAAGTTATGAAACAATGAATGTGCACAAATTGTTGGGAGAGAGCGCATTCTGGAGAGAGACGTGCATATTGCATCTGGGTGCATGGTCAATCCGACTTCTGCATTGGCCATGTAGCATTTACGGTGATATGGCCTCCACAGAAGTCAGGGCATTCATACACCCCATACAGAACCAATCAGTCGATATAATCAAACTATCATCAGAAATCACGCGATATGAATCAGACAGTGCGGCGCCGCCTGACCCACAATTTTTATTGTGCTGTAACTAAAACTAGAAGATCTTCTGACGTCCTTTCCCTTCGTCAATGGTACGTAATCACATAATTTTTTAAACAGTGATTTACAAAGCTAATGTAAAGGATTTTTTTTTTAAAGTGTTTTTATCCCAGGATAGCCCGCTAATATGACCCATAGTAGGGGAGAACATTTCTTGAGTGCAATTCGATCTGAATATGTAATCAATTTAAAAGGATTAGCAATTTTGCATTAGCAGCCTTTTCGGCTTAAATTTCCCGGGAACCATGACATGGTGTCATTTCCTGTTTTCGGTGCTAGGCTGCTTCTAATTTCTTTGGCTGCATCTCCTGTCTCTGTGTCTTAAATATCCATGCTTTTCCCAAAGTGTGCACTAGTACACTTTCTCGCATGAATTTAAACTCTAGCCAATGCAATTCATATAACCAGGAACCAATATCCAAAGTGGGTAGTTAGACTCATTTCATATGACATGCCTGCATTTAAAATGCATATGAGGCGGTACTTTGGGGGCACTATGGGCAGAGCAAGATGTGATTGGGCCTACAATTACCAAAAAAGGTTGAGAACCACTAGGCAAGTATTAGAATTAAGAAAATAATTGAGTGTAAGCAAGTAACTCCACTAGTCATGCATTATGATAGATAATTATGTATCAGATCATTTAAATTAATTAGAATAAATCAAACTTAGTTGTCATTGTCTTTTTTTTCTTTACAGATGCCATCTTTTAGAAGAAAAAGAGCCATGATGGTTTACAGAGACCTGACTAGAGGCGTGATGGCACGTACACCCCTGCCATCAACTTGGATCGGTGAGAAAGTTGCTCTGTTCAGTTCTGTTCAACTTAATTTAACCAGGATAGTCCACTCAGTAACAATTGGCACTACTCTGTAGGGAGTACTGGTAGAACAGAGCCGGTTCCCTCTGCAGCAGAAGTTGTGCCCAGCTGCAGTGATGCACCTCCTCCACCAGCTTACAAAAAATAGGAAGGCAGCTGATGTTGAGGCCTGGAAGGGGTTGAGGGAGCTACTCCACATCCCTGCAGTGTCTGTCTTAGTCAGCGCAATTGCGCAATTCATCCATGTGTCCCGGTGGGCCTACGATGGGAGTGGAGGAGACAAGATGACCATGACTGTCACAGCCAGTACAACCGTCTTCTGACTGTTGTTGACTTTAGAGGTAGGCCTTATATCAAAATTGGAAACTAAGACATCTGGTTCTTTTACCATCTTGCAAACTATATCAGAGCATCAAGTGTAGCAGCACCATGCTCAGAGACAGTTTCTCCCTCCAAGCCATAAGACTGTTGATGAAAACTGAACTGACTCTTTGCTGCTATGGCAACTATTGTACTGTACTTAATATACTGTAGTTATCTACTTATTTCATTGTATTGTACACACTACACTGTATTCCTGTGCAAATGACAACTTTGATTTTGTTGATTGATCTTGTTTACTATAACCCTGTTCACTCTGTTGTTATGATGAAAATATGGAGTCATTTCGAAAGTTCTTAAGAGATCTCTCACCAACATCGGATGTAATGTTTCGCAATGCAATCTAAGAAACGGAATGTCCTGATTTCAGGAAGAGCTCATGACGTCTGGCTGCAGTTTTGCAGCTGTGAGCTGGAACCTGTCACCCTGATCCGCCACAGACTCTGGCCTGCCACCCCCCCCCCCATCTGTCGCAAACAGCAATTTCAGTGGACCTCCTGCGCCAGTTTGCA